GAGAGAGAGAGAGAGAGAGAGAGAGAGAGAGAGAGAGAGAGAGAGAGAGAGAGAGAGCATTCGGGTTTTCAATTGATCTGACACAACTTCCTTGATGTTCTGCTGCATTGTTGCCGACATCATATTCAGGATGCCTAAAGCAGGTGTAGAGGCGATCAAGCGCCATTTTGAGAAACTTGGCGTGCATGGGGAGTCGGGGAAAGGGAACTACAATTGGAAATGTCGGTACTGCAAACTGGTGTGCCCTGGGATCACGAAGCACTGTGCAGAGCACTTCAAGTCCACGACGAAAGGGCCCAGGTGCAACATGAATAGGGTAGGCGGTAGGTTGTCGGCGGAGGAAAGAGAGAAGAGGTAGTTGGGCCGGCTGGAGGGAATTGCGCCGGTGCTTGGAAAGGTTGTGCCACCGGCACTGTCAGATGATTGCCCCTCTGACGTAGAGGGCACGGACGAACCGGAGGGCGAGGCGGAATGCAGCAGCCCCCAACCTCCTCAAAACAAGGTCAACACAGGCCTTTCCACCACCACTAACGTGTGGCAGACTACGCTGGAAGAGGGCGGGGCAATAATCTCTAAGAACGAGGAAGCACAACTCTCTATAGACAAGTGATTGGTTTATGAAGGAGTCCCCTTCAATATGGTGCGCAACAAGTATTTATTGTGCATGATAGAGAAGGTCCGCGACGCGGAGTGGTCCTTCATCCCTGTAATATACGACACGCAGCGGACGAAGAGGTTGGAGATGTCCCGGTCGCGGGTCGATGAGGGGGTTTTGCGGCAGCAGAGAAGTTGGGCTCGAAACGGATGCATGTTCCAGCTTGATGGTTGGACTGATATAAGAGGCAGACCGCACTTGAATGTCATGGTCTCCTTTCTACCGGTGTGTTTTTTTGGAAGTCGCATTGCATGTCAGGCAAGGAGAAGGGAACAGCAACTTACTTTGATATCTTATCTCAGTCGATTTACGAAGTTGGCGGGAAGAGTGTTGTTGGAGTGATCATGGACAACGTTGTTGGGTGCGCGAGAGCTGACAGAGTGGTGGAGGATACATTCCCGCTAACCTTCCATGTGTCATACGTTGTGCACTGCCTCGACTTAATGATGCACGATATTGGGAAGATAGAGTGGGTGGCTGGAACGGTGACGAAGGCGAACGACATGGCGAAGTTCGTCATGAACCACCAGCGAGTCAAGGATGTTTACTACATCCATGCAGGTGGAAGGCAGTTACTGCGACCTACGGCAACGCGTTTCGCCATCAACTTTCACATGCAGGACCACTTGAAGAAGCAACGAAAAGCGTTGGTGGCTATGGTCACAGACGACATGTGGACAGCGGCGTTGGTCCCCCATGCGGAGCGCTCGACCCTCCACGAGATGGAAGACATCATACTCGATGCAGCAGGTTTTGGGGATCTTGTGAACAAGGCAATACTGGCGGATGGCAACGGTCCGACCATCAGCAAGGTTTATGCGAAGATGGACAGGATAGTGGAACACCTGCGACTCGGAGTTAACAAGGACCTGACAGTGGATCAGCGAGACGAAATCGAGGTGATGGTCATGCGCAGATGGAATGCCATGACCAGTCCCCTCCATCGTGCAGCCCTGTTCCTAGATCCAGAGTACAGGTTGTCTCAGCCGCACAAGGATGCAGAGATCCAAGATGGATTCTACACCTGGGTGTACACATGGCTCAAAAAGGCGCCATAGGAGGTGTGCGACCAGGTGGAGTATGAAGTCGATTGTTGGGTTCAGAACATTGGCAAGTTCAGCTCACATGTGGCTATGGATGCAGCCCGTAAGCAGAACCTTGCAGCATGGTGGAAGCGCTGGTGCAATGAGCTACAACACTTGCAGCCCCATGTCATTCGACTGTTGGGGCAAGGGTCGTCTGCGAAAGGAATTGGAGCCTTTTCGCAGCAATTCACATCAAAGAGCGCAATGGCTTGGCCCTGGAGACAATGCACAAACTGGTGTACAACAAGTGAAACATACGGCTCCTCATGCTGCAGCAGATGTCAGAGAGGGCCAAAGACCTTATTGAATGGGATGACCCACCAACAGAGGAGGAGCAAAAGGAGGCCAAAGAAAGGGTGAAGGTGGTTGAGCGGCGATTGAAGAGTCTTACCTCAGTTGGTGATAGTGTTGTTCCACTAGCTGATGGCGGGGATGATGAAGATGGGGATGAAGTTGTTGTTCCCTGCCGTGAAGAATGCAACCTGGAGGAGATTGAGGAGGGTCAGCATGGGGACTAGCATGGATAGACGAAGGCAGACAACTTTTATTTAAACGTTTCCAAACAGATGTGCGAAGGAAGGCACGCACCTTGGGAACAGAGGACCACATGTGTGCTCACAAGAAGGGAGGCGGTGACACACTGCCTCATGGTGCTGCAACGACAGCACCATAAAAGGAGACCGGGACATCGTCGCCACAGCCTGATCTTCAACGCCAAAAAAAACCTAGAGGCAGACCAAGAAAAACACCAGCAACGGATCTAGACTGTTTAGATGCTGTGACTGCGGAGGGAGAGGACAACCCTACGCACATAACTGATAAGAACGAAGTAGAGGGGGGCAATGATGAGGGTGTGCTAAGCAGTGACCATCAAGAGGAAGGCTTATCAGACTACCCATCAAGCAATGATGAGCAACCATTGGCTGAGAAAAAGCGGAGGGGGATATAGAGAGTCATTAGAGACTCGTGAGAGAGAGGGAGAGAGAATCGTGGACTGCCGTTTTTTTGGTGGTCATTCATGAATCGTGAATCATGAATGACTTTGCAATCACTTCGGGGACGAAGGCGGTCTAGAAGTTATTGGTAATGTTCAAAGTTCAATGTTAAGTTAATTCAAATTTCAAACTCCAAAGTTCAATTTGTTGTGTGTGCAGTGTGCACTGTGCGCTGTGCAGTTTGCACAATTCAAGTTGTGCATCTTTGAATCTGTGTGTAGGTATGCAAGCTGCAGTGACAGCACTCTGCGCATTGTTCACTCAGGTAATGTAACTTTTTTTTTCCGAAAAATATATTGCATCCGGACAGGCATCCGAACAAGGGATCCGGACCGTTCCGGATTTTCCGGGATATTCCGGTTTTTCGGAAGTCCGGAAGAGCCCGGGAGGTCCGGGGTTCGGATTCGGTCCGGTGTTCGGTCCGGCGTAGCTATGGTAATTTATCATCCCAATTTATATTTTTCAGTAGATTCTTCAGCCTGACCTTTCGTTCCTTGGCGTAATCTATAAATAATGTTTTAACACGGTTCCTTAATTTTGCAATACCTATCTTGAACCAATTGACAATGGAGTAGGACGTCTGGCGTTGCGTTGACCAGAATTCCCCAAACTCCCTGATTAGGTTTTTCAAGGATGACAGTCTCAGTAGCAAGGCATTGAACTTATAAAAATTGGGGCCTCTTTCGATTGAGGCCAGGAAGGACAGACCCAACAGTATGCCTTTGTGATCGAAGGATTTGCAGAGGTTAAAGGGCATTATATCTATGAAGTTGATGGTGCCTATGAGGTCCTCGGAGACGAGGAACAAATCAATTTAGGAGTTCGATCTGCCTGCGGCTCTTTTTGACCTCACACATGTGTATGCCCTCTTCGCCGGACGCAGAACCCAGTGGGCGTTCTTGAGTTGTAATGCCGCCATGAATTCTGCGAACATGACAACATCCTGGGGTTGGGTGTCGTTTGCTCCATTATGCATTTGGTGTTGTCCAGAGAGGAATGACGTTAAAAAGATATTAAATGAGGTGAGAAAACATTAGCCCTTTCAAGAAAACTTTAATCTCGACTATGACCAGTTTCAACTTTTGTTCTCTATGTTTTTATTTTCCCTTCTTTAGTTTTCTCTTCCTTGCCCTATCGGTGCATCAGGGTGTATTGGACGCACTGTTGACACTTTTCAAGGGAGGGCATCATCTCACTCGACCTCAAGATTTTTTTAAATCCAACCGCTTTGACATTCAAATTGTTGTTCTTGTCTTTTTGTCATCATTTGTTTTTTAAAGCAAACGGTCATGACAACTGCACCATTGTAACAATATAAAAAAAGACATAATCTCACACCAACTCAAGATTTTGTACCCAACTGTTTTTACGTTCATGATGTTGCTGTCTTTTTTGTTTTTTTGTTTTTGTTTTCGAAATCACTTTCTGTGATAACTCCGTCACAACTTCAAGCCCTCAAGTAGGGCATACTCTCACACATACCTGATATTCTGTCTGTGACTGACTTCACATCCAGAGTGTTAGCTTAACAAAACTCAGTGCGCAATGAAATTCAGGTTCGGTTAAAAACATGATCGGAGGTAGTGGTGGTTTAACAGATATCCCAAAGGACTTGTTTCCTTTCTCCCCCCCCCGTTCCCTCTTCTTTTGTGAGTTTCACAACCACTACTTTTTTTGTTTTTTTCTTTTTGTGAGAGTACGAGAAAAGAAAATAGAGTGCGACCCGGGCTCAACAAAACTCGGAGCGTGGTAAAATTCAGGCTCTACAAAAACAGGTTTTTCAGAAAAATCAAGAACCGCTAGATTCCACCAACGGTTTTGCATCTCCAATGTCGTGTTGTGTCATACGTGATAGAAAAGTCATTGTTGAGCCTACTAAACCGTCCAAGTGGGACACGTCACCGGTCTGACAAAAGATGATATGCAAAGACCGTCACCCTTTTCAAAATAAAAAAAGAGAGAAATAAAATAAAAAAGAGAGGGCATACTCACACGAGGATCTGATAACCTAAATTCTCTAATTTTGAGGTCACCTCTAATTTTGAGGTAGATAACCTAGATTCCGGACTCAGACAAAAGAAAAAATAAATCATTTATCTTCTCGGACTGAGATTCTCAAACATATTCAAAAATTCAGTATCAGTTGGTTAGGAGGAATCCAGGGGGGAAGTTGGGAAAGATACAGTGGGATGGGGCTACGGGAGAGGAGGATGAAGAGATACGTAGGGATTATAAGCTTGTATTTGGGGAGTGGACAACATGTGATCCTTCTATACCCCTACGTTCTGTTTTGGACTTCCCTAACCTTTTTCCCCCGCCTCAATTGTCTATGGTACCTGGTTCTTGGTTTTAGTTATGGATGAGAAACTGTAGATAGCAAGCAAGGTTGTGTTGCAGAAAATGTGCAATCGTACGTCATGTTTTGTCATATTTAGTGGGACAGAACTAGATACTACGGTTAAACCTGGCGCTCAGAAAGGAGTGAAGAGGTTTTGTTCCACCACAACATGGGGATGTGGGTTTTTGGCGGGGTCAATAGTTGGAGGGTATGGTCGTTTGTTTGATAGCATTGTAAGGTTGGGATTGGCCTACCTGTCTCAATGGAAAGCTCTGCTCGGTTAATCCCCTACCACGTGAGGGTTGGAAGGGAAAAAAAAAAAAAAAAAATGTTTTGTGTTTCCTCTGGCTTGGAGCAATTGATAGACGCGCCGAAATTTCCTTTCACGAAATGGTAAACTGCAAAAAAAAAAAATTGTTACCACCTCTAGAGGTGGTACCAAAATGTCATTTTTCGCGTCTCGCCAGGCTTATGACATTTGATTCCTCGTTTGCTAACTTTGCTACTTTCCATGCCTCGTACGACTGACCCAACCATCAGCGCGTCCAATCAAATATTTGCAATTTTGCGATAAAACGCCCTACGTGTGTGAGTATGCCCTTAGTGACCGAAATGTCGGTGGCCTGCGAGGCCACGAGAGTACCGTTTTTTATACCATCTCCAGAGGGGGTCTCAAATTCTCTTACCGATTTTTTTCATTCTCCAGAGCAATTGTAAAAGTTTGTGCATGAAGAAGACAACCTGGTTGTTATTTTAGCGATAAAAAAACCTTTTTTTATTTGGGTGGGGTGTTGTGTGACTATATGCACTTGGAATGGTGTTCAACTGGGTGACCTGCAACAGCTGTGTGACCACAGTGGTACCCAAGGTCTCCAATTCGCAGTATCAAATGCCGCAAAAGTTTGAGGACATACTCACACAGTGCTGGCATAGCAGCAAAATCTGCAAATTTTGCTATCCTTATTTTGCTGAGATGACACCCCGCCCGGTCATATACCAGCAGCAAATCACAAAAGACAAGAGACAAACTTTCTGGCAAATGTCAAAATGGTGCATCTCACCGTCACACAGCACGAGACCCAAATCCTTCAACATTTTTTTTTTCAACAACGAACTCTGGAACTGGAAAAACAAAATTCTACCACCTCCAGAGTTGGTAGCAAAATGCCCTTCACTACGGCCCACCAGGCCGCTGACATTTGATACCTTACGCCACTGGCCCAACCATCAAATTTTAGCTATATTGTCATAAAAGGCCCTAGTGTGAGTAGGCCTTGAGACTTTAGGTCCTCGTGTGAGTATGCCAGAGGCCTGAAGCCTGTGGTTAAGTGTGTGGTCCATGTACAGAGTTGCGAGAGTGGTTTGGACTTCTGCTGTTTTGGCGGTGTGATGCCAACGGATTTACTGATCTCGCCTCATTACTGTAGGTGGCTCTTGAGAGTCCGACAGTGTTGAACCAGGACCAGTTGAAACAGAGCCCCTATGGTGGGTTTGCGTTGATCGGATGGCTGAAAGTCCCACAAAAGTAGCCACGGGAGAAACTCGAACCTCAGCCAACCAATTCTCCATCGTCCAGAAGCCCTTAATTCATTTTGACAGCTGGAGTAATCGTCCACTCCAGTATGAGTTTATTGTGCTCTTTTCCATAATATGATCCATTCAATCACGGTGTGTTTTGAACCTTGGTTATGGGAGGTTTCTACCGGTAGTGTCCTATTGTGCGGCTGCTCCACTGTTTCTGTTGATCCGTGTCCCTTGGGTTCCACATGTCCCATAGGAGATTCTATTGGTTCCATTTGTTTCAGTAGTTTGTTCCCTTGGTTCCATCGCTCCACTGGTTCCATTGATTCCACTGGTTCCTCGGGTTCCAGTGATGGTTCCGTTAGTCACAACCACTGTTTCCATTGGTCCCACCGAACGAGAGAGTGAACGTGCGTGCACGCGCGCAAGAGAGAGAGAGCGGTTCCAGTGGTCCCAGCACTATTCTTTTGGAATCGTTCGCACCAGACCGGCATGGTGGTCGAGTGTCCGGTTCGGTTGCGAAGCTTTCCCACCAGACCAGCCCGGTGGTCCAGTGCCCGACTCGGCAGCAATGTGTTGGGTCGGGTTGGGTTGCGATGTGGCGGGCCGTCCTGCCATGTGACAAGAGGCCGTCACATGTGGAAAGAAACGGGTGCTACATGGCAGCTTATCACACCGATATTCCATGGGAGAAGACGAAACTCCTTTTCCTTGCTACCTACCGGTAGGGCAGGGAGAACACGAAACTGAACTGCAAATAACTTTGCACCTTCGAATGCAAAAATTTGATCGTTGTCGTCGATCTTGAGGTCGCCCGTTGAGAAAAAGACACAGTCGGTTGTGATCGATAACCACAATGGAGATCGCAATCGAGATCCAATCGAGATCGCAATCAAGACTGCAATCGACTGCAGCCGTCGATTGTGATCAGGC